GGAGTGTGTGATGGATAGGGTGTGTCACATGGAGCTATTTATGAGTGTGTGTGGTGTCAGATGGAGTTATTTATGGAGTGTGTGTGTCACATGGAGCTATTTATGGAGTGTGTGTGGCTGATGGAGCTATTTGGTGTGTGTGTGTGTGTCAGATGGAGTTATATATGGAGGTGTGTGTGTCACATGGAGCTATTTATGGAGTGTGTGCACATGAGCTATTTATGGAGTGTGTGTCAGATGGAGTTATATGGAGTGTGTGTGTCACATGGAGCTATTTATGGGAGTGTGTGTCACATGGAGCTATTTATGGACTGTGTGTGTCAGATGGAGTTATATATGGAGTGTGTGTGTCACATGGAGCTATTTATGGAGTGTGTGTGTCACATGGAGCTATTTATGGAGTGTGTGTGTGTCAGATGGAGTTATATATGGAGTGTGTGTGCACATGGAGCTATTTATGAGTGTGTGTGTGTCACATGGAGCTATTTATGGAGGTGTGTGTCACATGGAGCTATTTATGGAGGTGTGTGTGTGTCAGATGGAGAATTATGAGTGTGTCAGATGGAGCTATCTATGGAGTGTGTGTCACATGGAGTTATTTATGGACTGTGTGTGTGTCAGATGGAGTTATTTATGGACGTGTGTGTGTGTCAGATGGAGTTATTTATGGAGTGTGTGTCAGATGGAGCTATTTATGGCATGTGTGTCGATGGAGCTATTATGAGTGTGTGTGTCATATGGAGCTATTTATGGAGTGTGTGTGTGTCAGATGGAGTTATGGAAGGCAGATGGAGTTAATTATGTTGTGTGTGTCGATGGAGTTATTTATGGATGTGTGTGTGAGTGTCAGATGGAGTTAATTATGTTGTGTTGTGATGGAGGTATTTATGGACTGTGTGTGTGCAGATGGAGTATTTATATGTGTGTGTGCAGATGGAGCTATTTATGGTGTGTCAGATGGAGCTATTTATGAGTGTGTGTCACATGGAGCTATTTATGGAGTGTGTGGTGTTGATGGAGTTATTTATGGAGGTGTGTCAGATGGATATTTATGAGTGTGTGTCACATGGAGCTATTTATGGAGTGTGTGTGTGTCAGATGGAGTTATTTATGGAGGTGTCAGATGGAGTTATTTATGGAGTGTGTGTGTGTCAGATGGAGTTATTTATGAGTGTGTGTGTGTCAGATGGAGTTAATTATGTTGTGTGTGTCAGATGGAGGTATTTATGGACTGTGTGTGTGTCAGATGGAGCTATTTATGGAGTGTGTGTGTCAGATGGAGCTATTTATGGAGTGTGTGTGTCACATGGAGCTATTTATGGAGTGTGTGTGTGTGTCAGATGGAGTTATTTATGGAGTGTGTGTCAGATGGAGCTATTTATGGAGTGTGTGTGTCACATGGAGAATGAGTGTGTGTGTCAGATGGAGTTATTTATGGAGTGTGTGTGTCAGATGGAGTTATTTATGGAGTGTGTGTGTGTCAGATGGAGTTATTTATGGAGTGTGTGTGTGTGTCAGATGGAGTTAATTATGTTGTGTGTCAGATGGAGGTATTTATGGACTGTGTGTGTGTCAGATGGAGCTATTTATGGAGTTGAGTGTGTCACATGAGCTATTTATGGAGTGTATGGAGCTATTTATGAGTGTGTGTGTGTCAGATGGAGTTAATTATGTTGTGTGTGTCAGATGGAGGTATTTATGGACTGTGTGTGTCAGATGGAGCTATTTATGGTGTGTGTGTCAGATGCTATTTATGGAGTGTGTGTGTCACATGGAGCTATTTATGGAGTGTGTGTGTGTGTCAGATGGAGATATGTTGTGTGTGTCAGATGGAGTTTTATGGACTGTGTGTGTCACATGGAGCTATTTATGGAGTGTGTGTGTGTGTCAGATGGAGTTAATTATGTTGTGTGTGTCAGATGGAGCTATTTATGGAGTGTGTGTGTCACATGGAGCTATTTATGGAGTGGTGTGTGTGTCAGATGGAGTTAATTATGTGTGTGTGTGTCAGATGGAGGTGTTTATGGACTGTGTGTGTGTGTCAGATGGAGCTATTTATGGTGTGTGTCAGATGGAGCTATTTATGGAGTGTGTGTCACATGGAGCTATTTATGGAGTGTGGTGTCAGATGAGTTTGTTGAACATTTATGGAGTGTCATGGAGCTATTTATGGAGGTGTGTGTCAGATGGATAATTATGTTGTGTGTGTCAGATGGAGTTTATGGACTGTGTGTGTGTGTCAGATGGACTATTTATGGTGTGTGTGTCAGATGGAGCTATTTATGGAGTGTGTGTGTCACATGGAGCTATTTATGGAGTGTGTGTGTGTGTCAGATGGAGTTATTTATGGAGTGTGTGTGTGTCAGATGGAGTTAATTATGTTGTGTGTGTCAGATGGAGCTATTTATGGAGTGTGTGTGTCACATGGAGCTATTTATGGAGTGTGTGTGTGTGTGTGTCAGATGGAGGTATTTATGGACTGTGTGTGTGTCAGATGGAGTTACCATTACTGTCACCTTCCCTACCATTACTGTCACCTTCCCTACCATTACTGTCACCTTCCCTACCATTACTGTCACCTTCCCTACCATTACTGTCACCTTCCCTACCATTACTGTCACCTCCCTACCATTACTGTCACCTTCCTACCATTACTGTCACCTTCCCTACCATTACTGTCACCTTCCTACCATTACTGTCACCTTCCCTACCATTACTGTCACCTTCCCTACCATTACTGTCACCTTCCCTACCATTACTGTCACCTTTCCTACCATTACTGTCACCTTCCTCACCATTACTGCACTACCTCAAAGTACTGTACAGGTATTTCTTAATGCACAAAACCTGTTTATAATGGTTATTTATGGTGCACACAATAATTGTAAGGGAATTACAGTAAATGCAGTAGTGTAGAGTAATAATACCATATCTGTACAGCATTTAGAGAAACTGGATACTTGACACTAACGTCCACAGTATGAAACACTATACAGGTGCTCCCCGACTTACGACGGGGTTAGGGACCCAAATCCAGGTCGTAAGTCCGAATGGTCGTAAGTCCGACATAGATAAAAAAAAATAAAAAAAAATTCAACATTATGTTTTTCAAATTTTTTTTAATAAAAATCAACAATGAAATACAGTACAGTACAGTAAAAGTAATAAATAATGAGGAATGGATACAGTACAGTAAAAGTAATAAATAATGAAGAATGGATACAGTACAGTAAAAGTAATAAATACAGTGTGACTGAGCACTTACCTTTACTGTAGTCAGCTGAATGCACATGCGCGCCCCATAATTTTCTAATTATAATTGGAGACTACATTAACTGGAAACGTTTTGGTATAGAAAATGCGTGTGTCATTTGGAGAAAAAAAAATGGTCACAACTGCGGCGGTTGTAAGTCCAAGCAGTCGTAAGTCGGGGACTACCTGTAATAGCTGTAGTAATACATATATTTCCATTATATAATTTAAGAAATGTTCTCCAAGATAAAACTATTCCAGCTGGACCCCTGATGAGTTAATGAGTAATTCTATTTGCTGCCACTTTGTTTACAAGACCCAAACACCTTTTCTCATGGGCTACCAGCAATGTTGACACATTCTAACTTTTGTTCACTTGCAAATGCCACATTTTCTCTTACACCTCTGTATCTTTATTGTACTTACTTACCAAATGAAATAATTTTCTATAGTATTTAATTTTCCACATACAGCATTACAATAGAGTAAATGAGGATAAATTGGTCCGTGTCAGTCAACTGGCTGAGTACTTGTCTCAGTTTCTGAGGAGTAAGGTATATGGAGATTGTAAGAGACTAATGTGAACTGTACATTGTAAGATTAATTGTACACTTAATAACATTGTGAGTGTTATAGAATAATGAAATAATTTAGCATATTGTTAATAACAAAACTGCATTAATCTACTATATCTCTGGATTTAGGTTCGTGAATCAAATCAAGGGACTTTTTCTGTTTTTGATACCAAAACCTCAGTAAATCAGGGACTACCGTACAACTTTCTCCTTCCCTCGATATTCTATTTGTATCTGTCTGGCCATAAATATTGCCTCTGTAGTCCCCTGCCTCACATGAAGCCAAATTGCATTTTATTTACCATTCCACCTCAGGAGATAATAATCTTTCCCATGAGAGATACAAGAAAAAGACAGAAGAATAAATTTTTCAGATAAATATTTGAAAAAGTTATAAGATGTCAAACTTTAGTTATAAATTACCTTATGTACAGTAGCTGCCTGGTGGCCTGGATGGGGTTCAAAATTTACACTTTCAGGGACCTTAGGGTATAATGTGGAGCCAGGGAGAGGGGGTCAGTGTGTCTGTCATTTTAAAAGTCTGGTCATATGGGGACAGTGTCTGAGCTAGGTATAAAACCTGATGAGGTGGTGTTGTGGCTGGGGGACACCCTACAACACCAGTTTATATAATAACAAAAAGTGAACAATGGAAAGAACTGTCTCAGTTCCTGTCCTCCTAAACTACAGTGTGAAAGGATTTGCAATAGTGAAAAAAGTGAAAGTGGGTCCAATAGGCATGACTGCCCATTAGGGACAGTGTATATCACTATCTCCTATATCATCATTTTGCCCTATGGCCAAATTCTCTTGTCTTCACACACCCTACTGAACTGGACTGTATGTTTTACTCAATATAAAACCCAATCAATATTTCAGTTATTTTCTCCACATCCATGAAAAAATATAAAACTACCTGTACTTGTAAATCTTAGACAAACAGTGCTAATAAAGAATCACGTCCGAAATAACTTTCTTCTCATTATGGCCGCCACCTACCCTCGTGGTACAGTATATTCCTTCTGGCTATGACAGCCAATACAGTATAAAGGTAACCATCACAATTTTCATTATTAAAGTTTATTAATGGTCGTTTCACTAAAGTACTGATAATCTAAAAATGTGTAAACCAAGTGAGCTATTCAGTGTCTTAGTATCAACATACAGTATAAGTGTCTTCAAGTAATTTAATCAAGTGATAGGTTAAGAGCACAAAAAGTTAGCCACAAACTCACAAATCATCAAAAAATATCCCAAAATATGTAGACTGAGTAATGTTTTGGCATAAGCACCCCTTTCACTGTTGATAAATCATGATTGTTGCAATAATCTGATGATTTGTGAAGCTGTTGGACAACACAAGTTTGTTTTACTCATTTATTCTCCATAAAGTACATCACTTACATATAAAACAGTACAAATAAGTGACAGTTCCATGTTAAATAACATATCAAAATTCACTGAATAGTTTAGTTAAGCTCTTGCAATCATGATTACATCTTTAAACTTGGGAGAAAGAGGGTGATTATGCCAGCAACAGTACTGTACCATCAAGTTTATCTCACAAAATAAACACATCATCCTACAGGTGACTGCTGGTGGTACTCTATACAATACAGGTACAAGGCTGCCAACAAGTTAAAAAGGCTACAGTACTATGTATAGATTTTGTTCACAGAAATAACTTGTTTCATAAGTTTACAAATATTAATAAAGAACATGATAGCAAAAAGAGCCCCTCCCAAAGTACTTATTATTGCTCAATGTAAATACTAGTCCTCATAACTAAGCTTTTAAGTTAATTATTCCATAAATCCAGAGAGAATGTGTGACCTGCTCTTCCTCCACCTGTTGTGTGACCATCATTAACAATCTCACATTGTCTACTTCATTTTAATACTTAACCTTTTAACCTAACTTTTTTCTCATAATCTTCACAACATTCAAAAACTATACACAACACTTACTGTAATACTGAAGGAAAAAATGAAACTTATAGAAATACTTCCATTAAAACCAAAACACAAAAATTTACTAATTATAAACCATTCATAAATCTCTGTATAAAATTAAATTAATAACTTCTTGTTTTCTGGAAGAAATGCAAACAATACGGTATATCTATGAAAACTCAACTACTTTAGCACATCCTGGAGAGAGAGGAGTCAAACCAGAACTAAACAAAGTCTAATATAGTACAGTATAGTAAATCTGAACAAACTAATACATGATGGCACATAATTGTTTACATTTCTGCAAACTAATCAGTTAAGTAATCATACTACTGTACTGTACTTGTGTTTTATGAGTCTGATTATAAAAGTTAACAAGTATTAGCACAAGTGTGAGGGACTGTACAGTAAGATTGCAAGTGTCTCAAGAGGTGTACAGGTTCTGCTTCACTCACTCACTGAGAAAGGTGACCCACGCTCGTGTACGCCCGGGGAGTTGATCGGCCATATATGTTAACAGTATATGAGCTATAGGAAGAATACTGTACTAAATATAAAGATGTACTGTACTCTTGTTTTTATTGACAAGAAGGCCTGAGGACAGTCACGATGGCTAGCGCACCCTTAAAGGGCAAATCCGAGCCACACGGTTCTGTTAAACTGTCACTAACCGTTACAAAGTATGATCTTGGACAACATGGCACAAAAGGGCAGCAGTATAGTCAAGGGTAGCTATCACAGCGATGTCAAGCACCACAAGTTTACATATTCTCACATTCAAGGAGTCCCTACATCACAGTGCAAAATAACCTGACGGACATAACCCCCAAAACCCCTAAGATAGTAAACCAATTAAAGGAAATACCATAACTCCTAACATTTGACTGACACTGTGAAAAAGTTTGATTCCATAAACTCGTATGCTTATTAAATGCTTAGGATATTACAGTACAGTAGACCCTTGCAATTACTGGGGGATAGGTTCCAAGAAATGGCACAAATTGGCAAAACCGAGAATAGCAACTGATACTACCTTAGTGCACTACTGTGTACCTATACCAAACAACTGACCAGCAGCGGCAGCAGTCATCCCCTCTTTTAACTTATCTAATAATTCAACTTTCTTTGCCAGGGTCATCACTGACTTCTGCCTCTTACATTTCACTCCACTAGCATCACTAGCACTGACACTAGGCTGTCTTTTAGGGGCCATTTTCACACAGAAACACTAAAGTTTTGAGAGTACAACACAAGATGCTGAGTGGGATGACTCACTGCTGCAGGAAAAGGTTCACAAACTTGCCACCCGAGCCACCAGCTGCTTACCTTGTCAAAAGTGAGACTGGCAAGGATCTACCTGACTGTCTATACACCACACACATACTAACAGTTATACCTGACTGTCTATACACCACACACATACTAACAGTTATACCTGACTGTCTATACACCACACACATACTAACAGTTATACCTGACTGTCTATACACCACACATACTAACAGTTATACCTGACTGTCTATACACCACACACATACTAACAGTTATACCTGACTGACTGTCTATACACCACACACATACTAACAGTTATACCTGACTGTCTATACACCACACACATACTAACAGTTATACCTGACTGTCTATACACCACACACATACTAACAGTTATACCTGACTGACTGTCTATACACCACACACATACTAACAGTTATACCTGACTGTCTATACACCACACACATACTAACAGTTATACCTGACTGTCTATACACCACACACATACTAACAGTTATACTGACTGTCTATACACCACACACATACTAACAGTTATACCTGACTGTCTGTCTATACACCACAAACATACTAACAGTTATACCTGACTGTCTATACACACAAACATACTAACAGTTATACCTGACTGTCTGTCTATACACCACAAACATACTAACAGTTATACCTGACTGTCTATACACCACAAACATACTAACAGTTATACCTGACTGTCTGTCTATACACCACAAACATACTAACAGTTATACCTGACTGTCTATACACCACAAACATACTAACATTATACCTGACTGTCTATACACCACAAACATACTAACAGTTATACCTGACTGTCTATACACACAAACATACTAACAGTTATACCTGACTGTCTATACACCCAAACATACTAACAGTTATACCTGACTGTCTATACACCACAAACATACTAACAGTTATACCTGACTGTCTATACACCACAAACATACTAACAGTTATACCTGACTGTCTATACACCACAAACATACTAACAGTCCTGACTGACTGTCTATACACAAAACATACTAACAGTTATAGAATTATACCTGCTACACCACACATACTAATATCTGACTGTCATACCCACAAAAAATACCTGACTGTCTATACACCAAACATACTAACAGTTATACCTGACTGTCTATACACCAACATATGTTATACCTGACTGTCTATACACCACAAACATACTAACAGTTATACCTGACTGTCTATACACCACAAACATACTAACAGTTATACACTGTCTATACACCACACACATACTAACAGTTATACTACTGACTGTCTATACACCACAAACATACTAACAGTTATACCTGACTGTCTATACACCACAAACATACTAACAGTTATACCTGACTGTCTGTCTATACACCACAAACATACTAACAGTTATACCTGACTGTCTATACACCACAAACATACTAACAGTTATACTGACTGTCTATACACCACAAACATACTAACAGTTATACCTGACTGTCTATACACCACAAACATACTAACAGTTATACCTGACTGTCTATACACCACAAACATACTAACAGTTATACCTGACTGTCTATACACCACAAACATACTAACAGTTATACCTGACTGTCTATACACCACAAACATACTAACAGTTATACCTGACTGTCTATACACCACATATTTTTCCTCTCACAATACTTCTTTCTCACAACTCTTCCACGTCTCAACATTTTCTTTGACTAAACAAAAAATATACTGTATAGGTATACTGTATACAGTTTATATTTTGGATCAGTGGTTCTCTACTGCCAAACAGCTTGTAAAATATTGGTCTTCATTTTCGATTCCGATCAATTTCTTTGTAAAGTGTTCCTGAAGTTGATCACAGCATTGTGTTTTATGTACTGTACTGTTTTATGTGCTGTACTGTACTGTAATGTACACTCTTCAATGTTTTTATTTAGCTACAGTCTCATAGTGCGAGTGGATAGGACTAGCTATAGTTACTAAATTAATTCACACTGTCAGTGTAGTTATTTCCACCTGCTCAAGCTACTCTTACTTGTTGAGGTGTATCGAACTTTCCCCTGCATGGACGTGACATGAGCTGCACTTCCCCTAATATCCTAAATGTATACGACCAACAATCCTTTAATACAGTACACCCACCTTGAGTACAACTAGCAGCAACTCTCACCCTCTGTTGACCTTAAGAGGGCAGGCAGGCAGACATAACATGCGAGTAAAGACCATTACAAGTACAGTACAAAACACTGCTGACATCCACTGAGCTTCAACACCACAATATGCTGTACCATAAATTGTTAATGGCTACTACAAGTGTTGTGCACTATAGGGAAGTGAGGCACATGACAGGAACAAGTTGCTCAATAAGTTTCATGTAAATTATCTCCTTAACATTGATTCCGGTGGTTTAAAATTTAACCACACAAGAACCACAATGTCTTACTCAGCAGACATGAATCTGCTCCTGAAGTGTTGATTAAATGTGTGTACTGTACTGTACTGTACTGTACTGTACTGTACTGTATACTAAAGCTTACTGTATGTATCCTTGAAGGAGTGTGGTCATAAGCTGATAATTTCCACTCTTTCCATTAAAATGACAAGCTTTCAAACAATAAACAATTACTGTATTTATTGTAAACTTGTAGACTAATCTATGCTACACACTACAAGAGAGAAAAATAATTATATGTAAAAAACAGATACAGTAATGTGAAAAAAAGTGTTTTTCTCTGGTATTCTGAAATATAACCTTGGCCAATACTTTTTACACTACAAGTTTACTAATATTTGCCTCGAGATTAGACTTCTTTCATTACAATACAAACAGCAGACTTCTGAAGGAAAATGTGCAACAAGAGTCTGTGGAATATTTTCTAACTACAGTAGAGGCCCTTGATACAGAACCACCTTCACTTCCATAGTGTATCATAATTACAGTGTTGGCCCTTCACTTCCATACTGTACATTATCACTACAGTATCTAGTAAACTGAGCTCTTATTTCTGTAAGTTAAACTTTGCATGACAAAAATAGCAATACATTTCTGGATCCCAGAATTTCTCACATACAGTACCTGCAAAAATATTATATCTGTAAAGAAATAGTTCTATACATGTAGAATTATCCTACACTTCTCTAAGCAACAAAAGTAGTCTACTTCTCCATAAACCCAACCAACAATCGTCAACATGCTTTTGACAACCTTCTTCATGCAGCCAACAAGCTTAACCTTATGTTCCAAAGTATTAATAATAATAAATACTTCACTCGTTGAAGCCTTTACCCACTATTAGCTAAGAGTGTCCACAGTGAAGGACAAACACTCTCTCTCCTAGCTGCCATTCAATAATTTTAGCAGCTGTAGTAGATGGGTTCTGCTGTGGCATTTCTCTTCTACAATAAGGTGTCAAATATCTGTCACTACACACAACCTAACATGACCCGTCAGTAGTACGTCCCTCCAGGAGTAATCTCGATGCTATTTCCTCCTGTCATTCCTCGAAGTCACCCCCAAACTCCATCAGCCTCCTAACTACCACCCTGTACCAGTGTGTCCCCCACCTTTACTTTCATACCATTATTGGTCTCCCCCGCCACATTCTCCTACAATGTACCTCTGAAATATGCTCTCTTTACCATCCTTCACCTCACAGTCTATGAACATGTCCACATAACACCTTTGTCTACTCTCTCCAATACTCCATTTTATATTTCTCCAATACAACTAAAAATTTGTCATTTGTCACTTGATCCACTGGTTATTTTCCTTCTGTAAACCCACACTGCTCTACCCATATTGCAAGACTCTAGACTAAAACATAATACAGTAGTGATATCCCCGTTAGCCAGAATATTTAGTGCAGAGCTCTTCTAGGGATCCTGATAACGAGACGACTTTTCAAACCCGGAAAAATTCTGGGTATTGAAAAAGGTTACTGAGTCTAAACTACACATCTTGCACACACAGACACTAGCCTACATCCCTGTATGGTTTCTGGTGCTGAAGAAAGTTTTCTGAGTCTAAGAGAGTCTAAACTACAGTCCGCATCTCATCATCAAATCTTGCACGAACAAACACTCTCCCATTACAATTCGACCACTGGTATGAGCAAAAATTTTTACAGCTTGTGAAAAAGTGTATAAATTTTTATTCACAGGATCTGTCCTAATTGCGTTTGAGAGATGAATTGGTACTATAATGACCCTAAATACATTATCTACAAGACCATTTTAGTAAAAGCCAAACAATATATTTCAACACGATAAAATGGTGGGGACTCATTTCTTTTATAAAAATAAATAAAAACATAGGATATGTTGATACCGGAGTCTATAAAATTAGTTCTCATTAAGTTAGAAACCACTTTTTACCAAAATAGTCCTGATTAGTTTATCTATGTTCAGTTAAATATAGTATATAAAAACCATAAATCTATTTGATACGGGCGTGAATGAAGCCGTGTGTTACAGGGAAGACAGTGGGATTTTCAGCTCTGCACTGGGGATTTTTTACGAGTCTTAACCCTCTATTAACATATATAAAAAGCTAAATATAAGACGGTTGCATTAGGTAGTGCTCACGAAATTAAAAAACGTAAAATATGAGATCCTACTGATCCTCTAAATAATTATTCTTCCCTGTCCTTTCTTACAAGGGAAACCACGGAAGTGCTGTTATTCCTTTGGCAGTAACATATGAGTGAGAGAAGCAATAGTCTGCTGGAGTAATCCCCCAGACTCCCGGTCCCCCATAGCGCCCCAACAGCTGGAATGATGAAATGGGCCGAATTTTCAGGAAAAATTCTCTCATTTCCGGATCTGTGAGAAATCTCTCGTCCTGGAACAACTGTGCCAATTATTCTGGCTAATGGGGGGGAGGAGGATACTGCAGTATGATAGATACTGGAGAGGATATTATATGATAAGTGTGTTATACTGGGGAGGAGGATATTACTGCAGTATGATAAAGTGTGTTATACTGGGGGAGGATATTGCAGTATGATAAAGGTATATTTATATGGGGGAGGATATTACTGCAGTATGATAAAATTATTATTTATGCTGGGGAGGATATTACTGCAGTATGATAAAGTGTGTTATACTGGGGGAGGATATTGCAGTATGATAAAATTGTGTTATACTGGGGGAGGATGTTACTGCGTATGATAAAAGTGTGACTATGCTGGAGGATATTGCTGCAGTATGATAAAGTGTTATGCTGGGGGGAGGATATTACTGCAGTATGATAAAGTGTGTTATGCTGGGGAGGAGGATATTGCAGTATGATAAAATTGTGTTATATGGGGAGGATGTGCAGTATGATAAAGTGTTATACTGGGAGGATATTGCAGTATGATAGAGTGTGTTATACCAGGGGAGGATATTACTGCAGTATGATAAAGAGTGTGTTATACTGGGGATAGCTGCGGTATGATAAAATTAATATTATACTGGGGGGAGGATATTGCAGTATGATGAGTGTGTTATACTGGGGAGGATATTACTGCAGTATGATAAAATTAATGTTGCTGGGGAGGATATTACTGCAGTATGATAAAGTATGTTATGCTGGGGGGAGGATGTTCTGGTATGATAAAGTGTATTTATGCTGGGGAGATATTACTGCAGTATGATAAAGTGTGTTATACTGAGGAGATGTGCAGTATGATAAAGTGTGTTATGCTGGGGGAGGATATTACTGTGTTATGATAAAGTGTGTTATACTGGGGAGATATTACTGCGTATGATAAAGTGTATTTATACTGGGGGATATTACTGCAGTATGATAAGTGTGTTATACTGGGGAGGATATTGCTGCAGTATGATAAAGTGTGTTATGCTGGAGAGGAGGATATTACTGCAGTATGATAAGTGTGTGTTATACTTGGGAGGATATTACTGCAGTATGATAAGGTATGGCTATACTGGGAGATATTACTGCAGTATGATAAAATTGTATTTATATGCACAGGGGGAGGATGTACTGCAGTATGATAAAGTGTATTTATACTGGGAGGATATTGCAGTGTGATAAAGTGTATTTATACTGGGGGAGGATATTGCAGTATGATAAAGTGTGTTATACTGGGGGGAGGATGTACGTGTGATGCAGTGTGTTGTATGCTGGGGAGGATATTACTGCGGTATGATGAAATTGTTGTTATGCTACAGGGGGGAGGATGTGCAATTGTGATAGGGTGTGTGTTATACTGGGGAGGATGTGCAGTATGATAGAAGTGTGTTATACTGGGGGGAGGATATTGCACGGTACTGTTAAAGTGTGTTATACTGGGGAGGATATTACTGCAGTATGATAAAATTGTGTTATACTGGGAGGATGTTACTGCAGTATGATAAAATTGTGTTATACTGGGGAGGATATTACTGATGTATTAAAGTGTGTGTTATACAGGGGGAGGATGTTGCAGTATGATAAAGTGTGTTATGCTGGGGAGGATATTGCAGTATGATAAAATTGTGTTATACTGGGGAGGATATTACTGCAGTATGATAAAGTGTTATACTGGGGGGATATTGCTGGTAGCAAGTAAGTGTGTTATACTGGGGGAGGATGTACTGCAGTATGATAAAGTGTGTTATGCTGGGGAGGATGTTTTATGATTATGATAAAGAAGTGTTATACTGGGGAGGATATTACTGCGAGTATGATAAAGTGTGTTATGCTGGGGAGGATATTGCAGTATGATAAAGAGTGTGTTATACTGGGGGAGGATATTACTGCGGTATGATGAGTGTGTTATGGGGGATGTACTGCAGTGTGATGGGGTGTTGTTTATGCTGGGGAGGATATTACTGCAGTATGATAAGAATGTGTTATACTGGGGGAGGATATTGCGGTATGATGAAGTGTGTTATATGCTGGGGATATTGCTGCGGTATGATGAAGTGTGTTATACTGGGGAGGATATTGCGGTATGATAGAGTGTATTGTTATACTGGGGAGGATATTGCTGCAGTATGATAAAGTGTGTTATACTGGGGGAGGATATTACTGCAGTATGATAAGGTGTGTTATACTGGGGAGATGTTACTGCAGTGATAAAATTGTGTTATACTGGGGGAGAATGTGGGGTGTGTTATGCTGGGGGATGTGCAGTATGATAAAGTGTGTTATGCTGGGGATGTGCAGTGAGTAGGTGTGTTATACTGGGGAGAGATGTACTGACATGATAAAGTGTGTTATGCACAGGGGGGGAGGATATTACTGCAGTATGATGGTATGTATGTTGTACTGGGGGAGGATATTACTGCAGTATGATAAGTGTGTTATACTGGGGGGGAGGATATTGCTGCGGTATGATAGAGTGTGTTTATGCTGGGGAGGATGTTGCAGTATGATAAATTGTATACTGGGGGGATATTGCAGAGCATGATAAGAATTGTGTTATACTGGGGGAGGATATTAGGTAAAGTGTGTTATACTGGGGGAGGATATTACTGCGGTATGATGAAGAGTGTATTTATACTGGGGGATATTACTGCAGTATGATAAAGTGTGTTATACTGGGGGATATTACTGCAGTATTATGATAAAAGTGTGTTATGCTGGGGGAGGATATTACTGCAGTATGATAGTGTGTTATACTGGGGGAGGATATGCAGTATGATAAAGTGTATTTATACTGGGGGAGGATATTACTGCGGTATGATAAAGTGTGTTATACTGGGGGATATTACTGCAGTATGATAGTGTGTTATACTGGGGAGGATATTTATGGTATGATAAAGTGTGTTATACTGGGGGAGGATATTGCAGTATGATAAGTGTGTTATACTGGGGAGGATATTGCGGTATGATAGTGTGTTACTGGGGAGGATGTTATATGATGAAGTGTGTTATACTGGGAGGATATTGCGGTATGATAAAGTGTGTTATACTGGGGAGGATATTGCACGGTATGATAGTGTGTTATACTGGGGAGATATTACTGCAGTATGATAAAGTGTGTTATACCAGGGGGAGGATATTACTGCAGTGATGATTAATGTTATACTGGGGAGATATTGCGGTATGATAAGTGTGTTATACTGGGGAGGATATTGCAGTATGATAAAATTGTGTTTAACACAGGGGGAGATATTGCAGTATGATAAGTGTATTTATACTGGGGAGGATATTACTGCAGTATGATAAAGTGTGTCTGGGGAGGATATTGCAGTATGATAAAGTGTGTTATACTGGGGGGAGGATATTACTGCGTATGATGTTAAAATTGTGTTATGCAGGGGAGGATATTGCAGTATGATAAAGTGTGTTATACAGGGGGAGGATATTGCACAGTATGATAAGTGTGTTATGCTGGGGGAGGATATTGCTGCAGTATGATAAGTGTGTTATACTGGGAGGATATTGCGGTATGATAAAGAGTGTGTTATACTGGGAGGATATTGCTGCAGTATGATAAAGTGTGTTATGCTGGGGGAGGATGTGCGGTATGATGAGTGTGTTATACAGGAGGATATTACTGCAGTATGATAAAGTGTGTTATACTGGGGAGGATATTACTGCAGTATGATAAAGTGTATTTATACTGGGGGGAGGATATTATTGCTGCAGTATGATAAAAGTGTGTATTTATACAGGAGGATATTACTGCAGTATGATAAAGTGTGTTATACTGGGGGAGGATGTTACTGCAGTATGATAGAGTGTGTTATGCACAGGGAGGATATTACTGCAGTATGAGTAAAATTGTGTGTTATACTGGGGAGGATGTGTACTGCAGTACTGATAAAGAGTGTGTTATACTGGGGGGAGGGATATTGCAGTATGATAGTGTGTGTGTTATACTGGGGAGGATATTACTGCAGTATGATAAAAGTGTATTTATACTGGGGAGGATATTGCAGTATGACAGAGTGTGTTGTATACTGGGGGAGGATATTTTTGCAGTATGATAAGTGTGTTATACTGGGGAGGATATTACTGCGGTATGATAGAAGTGTGTTATTTATGCTGGGGAGGATATTACTGCGAGTATGATAAGGTGTATTTATACTGGGGGAGATCATTACTGCAGTATGATAAGAGTGTGTATATGAGGAGGATGTTACTGCAGTATGATAAAGTGTGTTATACTGGGGAGGATATTTGGTATGATAGAAATTATGTTGTATGCTGGGGAGGATATTACTGCAGTATGATGAAGTGTATTGTTATACTGGGAGGATATTGCTGCCGGTATGATAAAGTGTGTTATACTGGGGAGGATATTACTGCAGTATGATAAGTGTGTTATACTGGGGGAGGATATTACTGCAGTATGATGAGTGTGTGTTATACTGGGGGGAGGATATTACTGTGATTATGATAAAGTGTGTTATACTGGGGAGGATATTGCTGCAGTGCTTGATAAAGTGTGTTATACTGGGGGAGGATGTGCAGTATGATAAAGTTATGCTGAAGATATGCTGCAGTATGATAAGTGTATGTTATACTGGGGGAGGATATTGCTGCAGTATGATAAAATTGTGTTATACTGGGGGGAGGATATTGCACAGTATGATAAAGTGTGTTATACTGGGGAGAGGATATTGCAGTATGATAAAGTGTGTGATTATACTGGGGAGGATATTGCAGTATGATAAAGTGTGTTATACTGGGGAGGATATTACTGCAGTATGATAAAATTGTGTATACTGGGGAGGATATTACTGCAGTATGATAAAATTATTTATGTGGGGAGGAATATTGCCTGCAGCATGATAAAGTGTGTTATATATGGGGAGGATATTACTGCAGTATGATAAAGTGTGTTATACTGGGGGGAGGATATTACTGCAGTATGATAAAGTGTGTTATACTGGGGGGAGGATATTACTGCAGTATGATAAAGTGTGTTATACTGGGGGGAGGATATTACTGCAGTATGATAAAGTGTGTTATACTGGGGGGAGGATATTACTGCAGTATGATAAAGTGTTATACTGGGGGAGGGGGGGGGAGGTGCAGTATGATAGTGTGTTATACTGTTGAAGGGCAGGAATGTTTGGCTGCACTTACTAACCAACTGGAGGTGATACAAATAAAGACAACAATATCTGTGTAATAATGTAAGCATCCTGACCCAACCTTAAGGAGAAGATACAACAAAACACTTTCCATACCACTGAGGAGTAACTAAAACACCAACTCTGCAAACTGGTGTTAGTACCGTAATGTTCAAGCTGCCTTATAAATACTAATTGGCCATATCATAACAGTAAGCACTGTCATCCCTCACTCACAGAAGGAGAGTGATGCACTAAACATAGGTTCTTCTTAAGTTTGTACAGCTCTCAAGTGACTAGATGTAATAAGCTTGCACAATAGTTTCATCATGACTTGCATCCATGCAGTACTATGCAGAGAACCATAAACTTTTCACTGCTTGTTTTTTAAGTTAAAAGTAATAATCTTCCAACCTTAACATCATACATCCCTATAAAAGTGTAATTAACTACAACAATCCAAGGAGCAAACATGTGGTAACTGTTGTAAGATCATCAACACCAGGGACCAGGGTGGTGTATTTCCTGCTGCCAACATTAAAATTTCTGCATCATTACAAAACTTTTGTACTGCAATTAAAAAAACTGGGCACAGTAAACAGCTCCTGGATCCATTTCCACAACATGCATGTCAAATAAACTACTTCTTTATTTGGAGTGCACTGTTTGGCTTACCAGTACTGCACTGCACTGTAAGTCAGAGTGATGAGGCCCACATTATTAATAGATGCCGAGTGAATACTGCACTGTACTAACCAAAGTAGAGGAAAGTGTATAAAATATATACATCAGTTTCTCTTTTTGGTCTAATCATAATTGTGGTGATCACTGCAGCTTCTTTATTACATTACAAAGATAAAAAGTATGTATTTGAATGAAGTTGCAGAACACAACAAATACCGTAACTCTATGTATGGGTAAGTTGTACTGAGGTGAATACCCATGTTTTGTACAGAGGCAGTGACTATGTAGCTGACACTTCAATAAAAAATCTACCAAACCGAGAAGTCTAGTTCTCGTATCCAGCCTGAAATACTTTCTGTTGAGGTTTCCAAAAGACTGTTACCATCTTCCTCCACTGGAAAATCATCTAAAACTGGATCTGAAAATCCTGAAACATGTGACTCCATTTAGTACTACTGAATGCTCATTGAACCACTTAAAAGTAAACAAACACTACCCATGTCAAAGCGTGCATAATCTTCAGAATGTGAGCAAACTCTTCCCCAACAGTAACAGTGGCCTAGTCTAGCCTTACACTTCTCCTCCAACCAAATGGGACAACCCAAGTGAAACAGCACCACCTAACCTTACCTCCTACTCTTTTTAGCAGAGGGACCACCGTTGGCAGAGAACTTTGCTGCCCGTTTTCCCCTAAAGACAAACTTAACTCTCATCGTACCAGAATCTTTTGAAGAAGTTTTAGGACAAGACTTTATAGAGGCTTTGGCCTTGGCTTTAAAGGCGGCCTTTCTTCGACTCTTACCCTCAGTTTTGCTGGCCACTTTCCTCTTCCTCGTCGTCTCACTTTTTGGAGTTTTTGGTGACTTGGGAGTTTTTTGGGCCTTGGGAACCTTTGCAGACTTTGTGGTCTTGGGCGACGCAGTCTTTGGTGTGGTTGTACCAGATCTCGCTATTCGAACTCCAGTTGTGGACGTTCTTTGAGAAAAGAATATCAACGACATGTCCACTTCCAAGTTATTTCTTTCACAGTGTGTACGCACCTCATTCCTTGACCGTAGTTTCTTTCCAATGGGACTGTAAGAAAAAGATAAAAGCATTACTTATGGCTGATTTAATCAGTGAACAGATTCATGGTTTATTAAACATCTTAAGCTACACTATTGTAAGCTTTAGTTTGTGTAATAGTTAAAATCATTTTATCAAACAAGCAAGTCAATATGAGGAAAATTCTAGCCCTTGCAACTGAACATTATTTGGTGGAATAAGTGAAAGATTACAGAGCGCTATACATTTAAGCAGTAGTGTACCAAGGCTGCTGTAAGTATTAGAGCAGCACAGAGGAACAAGAACACTGTCACCTTCCACCTGCTACATAACATGACTATGGTTCACTTATGGGTGACAGCCACTATTGTCCTTCCATAAAAACAACACATATATAAGTTCTGCTCAACAGGACTAACAATTGTACTGTACAGGGGCCGAACACCTCATCAGTAGCAGAGGTACAGTACCGTAACTTACACACTTCTTACAGTCCCATAAATTTCCCATACTCAAAATTTACTTAAGGGGTCCAGAAGCAGTCCGTAACTTTGGTGTTTACCCTGTACTGTATATTCAGTTCTCTTGTCTGAAGGTAGATGGCATTGCAAAACCTTATTGACCAATCGTCGCTCAGTTAACAAAATCATCAACCAATCACAAGAGAAGGAGAAATCAGCTGAGATCGACGCACGTGATAGTTGCTAGACGTACGTACTTAAACATCATTAGTGGAGATGGAATTATGTTTGAGTAATACTTGAGGATAATGGTTGACCAATGACCAAAATATATACAGTGATCCCTCGGTTAACGAATTACCTTCCATAAGATTCTTCACTTCGGTTAACGAGCAAACCCTCGGTTAACGAATTCCTTACAAATTTTTCCCAACATGTTTTCGCCTGCATTTGGCTGCCCACCAGCTGTAGTATTAGTCTGCCAATACAGTAATCAGTTCTAGGGCTTAAATTCCTTACAATTTTAGTAAATATCAAGAAGGTTGTACTATTCAATAATTTTAAAAGTTTTATATTAAATTTTTTAGTCATTTTAACAATTATTGAACATAATTGAAGCATAGAAAGCTGATTTTTTGTGTGCCAAACAGCCACTCAACACACCAAGCTTGGCGTCAGTTTGTTTACCAACTCAGAGGAAGGAACATCTTGTTTGAGACTCTTCAATATAAACGCTTTTTTCTGTGTTTCCAGTCAAATTATTGGTCATTTTGAAATATATTTTACATATTGACAATATGTAATGCAGTGCAGTGTTGATTTAAAGAAAATAATCTTGAATTACACCACGTGAACTAAAATTTTATGGGTGATATGGCAGCATGGGGTGACTTCTCTTCCATCCCAATGCCTTGTCTTCTCCCTTCTCCTCCACCCCCATTCTAATTCCCATCATCATCATCATCAACCATGAGCCTTCTACATACACACCTCAAAGTAAGTGTACTTTACTGCATTTATTTTTAGATTGTATGTACCGTAGTTTTTGGCTTAGAAGACACTGCATCGTGGAAGACGCACCCTGATTTTGGAAATGAAATTCTATTTTTTTTTTTTTTTCAGGTATTAGCCCACCTGGGCACAGGTCACTGACCCACATTGGGGCCTAGGGGGAGAAAATGTAATAATAGTAGTAATAATGATAATAATAATAATAATAATAATAATAATAATAATAATAATAATAATAATAATAATAAATACAAAAATGAAAAAAAAATCATGAGTGAGAAACAATATATGTATGTTGTGTTGTCAAAGTAAGAGAAACAATTGAGACCCTGCAATTGTGCATAAATGTGGCAGAAAGTCAGATCAGCAACTTGGGACTTGGTCACAATTTTCGTGATGCCATATGGCAGCAGGGTCTACCAATATCTTCCCAGGCATTAGTACCCGGTACCTCCCTACTACCGACACCAGTGAAACCGTTGCTTGATAATTATACAGCCCTTTTGGCACAACTACACACACCTCTTTGAATATCATCACTTAGAACTGATTATCAGTCGTCATTTTCATCAATTAAAAAAAAATCTGTTTAAGAAGGTGAAATCTTTAATACAGCACTCATTTTATACACCTAGTCCCCTCCACGTCTAGCGGGCTGTAGTGTTTACATTCTTTCTCTTGTTTTTGTCGGTATGACAACGACGGGAAATATTTTCCAACAGTAGAAGGTAAGCAAATGTAAACATGTATATCAAAGTCTATATAAAACAAAAAATATTTATTTAAAACAAAATAAAAGTAAAAAAAACTAGTTTTTTGCAAAACCAGGGACTGATTGGTTCTACATAATTATAAAACTGAAGAAAATAAGTCCTCCATTGTAGCTGTATTAAAATTAATGTAGAAAAATTAATATGGTTGTTTTAAGTAATGTTATTTAATGTTAATAAATGGAACAATGGAAGTAGCTAACAATTACGGGTAAAAAAAAAGTGAGATCGCGTACGTAAGTGAGCACATGTGTAAACATATCGTCATTACTCTACATAAGAATATGAAAGCAACACTTATTTACTGTTCATATATATTTTAATTAATGTTTCTGAATTAAAAAAAAATTCTACCCACCAGTGGTGGTAAAGTTGAAAACATAAGGACAGCCAATGTTGTTGTGTGTGTGTTTTGACTTGGATGACGAAGGTGCATTTAAATTTGGAAGATTTTAATTTTGTGGGGTTTTTACAGTCTAAATGGGTATCCAAATATGAAAGTCTACTGTAAATAGGTGTCCAAATATGAGAGCCTACATACAGTAGAAGTCCAAAAATCCGAACTGCTCGGGGATTGGGTCGGTGCGGATTTTCTGGATTCTCAGGCAGTACTTTTAAAATTCAAATTTAAGGAGGAATAAAGAAGAGATGAACAGGTACATTTTGATAGTTTATTCATTAGCAAATATAGCATGCTTCATTTATCAAAACGAGCAGTTTTAAAGATAAAGCTGTGAATTCTAAAATTTTATTCTTTGCCTTTTTTATATCATAAATTGTAGACTTTCCAATGTCGTATGTTTCCATTAGAACAGTATTGCTCACACCACGTTCTAGTTTCTTACTTATTTCAAGTTTGTCACTCAATTTCAACGTGTTCTTTTTTCTCTTCACACAACAAAGTTTATCTACTTTAGGAGCCATTATTATGGGCTTGTACAGTACTCTGTAAATGGAAAGAGTAGGACTCAAAATTACATACGTTGTCACAGTTTGATTGCTCGTTTTAAAGTGGTGACCGCGTGGCCGCTTGTTGTCGCTGTGCAGCTGTGGCGCTCACGCATGCACACATACACACAGAAGCCAGCTACAAAAAAAAAAAAAAAATAGAGTTTGAGTTTTCGAAAAGTCCAGATTCTCGGGTGGTCCGGATTTCTGGCATCCGGATTTTTGGACTTTTACTGTATAAAGAAACAAACATTCCTGCGCTTTGAGACCAGCAGACAACCTTTAGCAATTCCTCAATAGATGGCGCTGCCGCACCACTGCCATTAGTAAACAAACACCACAGCAGCAAGGGTTTATTTTTATTTTTTCACAATATATCAACAATATGAGTTAAATCAATAGTTTTATAGTACTGTATAGAGAATACTTGTAATTGTAAAGTACTGTAATGAGGTAACAATCTTTGTAAGGCGCTGATTTCAAAAACCTCTGCTACAACTCATCGACTAGTGTCCTGGAAGACACATGGTAATTTTCGAGGTATATTTATGTCATAAAAAGTGCGTCTTTTAAGCCGAAAAATACGGTAATTTTCGGTGAGCTAGAACCAATTACCCCAAAACCCATTGAAACAATGGTTTCAGTTAACGAATTTTTCGGTTAACAAGCAACCTTCTGGAACGAATTGTGCTCGTTAACCGAGGGACCATTGTGTGTGTGTGTGTGTGTGTGTGTGTGTGTGTGTGTGTGTGTGTGTGTGTGTGTGTGTGTGCACACGTGCGTATATATACAATATATATATACCGTAAACCCTCGCTTTACGCGGTTTCACTTTACGCGTTTCCACGTTTACGCAGTACCCTGCCGAACACGGAATGCTCACTTTACGAGGTGTGTGTACCCTTTTACGCGGCGAGCGGCTGGCGGTCCTCTTGCGCCGCGCCATTTTTGTAAAAGCTCCCTTCCAAGACCTTCGTTGTGAAGAATGCCAGCAAGTGTCGGGGCCGGAAGTTGCAGAAGGAGTGCATCACCGTCCTGTTTACCACCAATGCCTCCAGTACCTGTAAGCTCAAGTTATCGGTGATCCACACAGCACGCAAGCCGCACGCCTACAAGAGCATGGACATGACCAAGCTAAATGTCCACTGGCTGACCGCACGTAAGGCGTGGATGTTCTCTACTCTGTCCCTCTCCTGGTTTGATGACTGTTTCGTTCCCGATGTGAAGAAATTCTGTGAGCGACAGAATGTGCCATTCAAGATTTTGTTGCTGCTTGACAACGCACCAGGACACTCGCCCCTACTGTTAGATCATCACCCCAACATAAAAGTGGTCTTCCTTCCTCCCAACACTACGTCTATAATACAGCCCATGGACCAAGAATTGATCTGTAATGTGAAAGCTGCATTCTCTGCCAAGAAATTTAAGCTCCTGAACGACCACACCAACACCAAGGAAGAGTTGCATAACCTGAGTGACACCAATAGCAAGAGCGAAGACGATGAGGAACAACAGTTGGCAGAGCAAGAAGTACTTGTGAAACAATTTTGGAGAACATTCAACGTCAAGAAAGCTGTGGACTTCTTGGTGGAGGCATGGGATCAGCTGTCTGTAGCAACTGTTCGTCACGTATGGAGACGTGTTGCAAGGTATTCCGGGTGGGAGGCAGAGTAAATCTGTGACTGGTGAGGTTCAGACTGTTGCAGTAGCAGTGGACCTTGCCAGAGAAGCTGCACAGAGTGTTACAGCTGCAGGCTTCTCCGAGACCACCAACGACGACATCCTGGAGGTGATAAGGGATCCTAATGTGACTACCGACGTGATGCTACATGATGATGAC